AAATGCCACCTGTCACCGGAGCCTGTTGGGCCTGGTGCCAAGCAATTGTGCAAGGGACCGAGAGGGAGTCTTGTGAGTTTGGTGGTTTTCTTGGTCTTGGTGTATGGACTGTGGGTCTCCTGCTTAGCAGGGTAGAAAAAGGATGGTGAGTTTAGTGTCATCACTAAAGGGAAAAAAAAAATTGGCTTTCAGTATAATTTCATTCTGAATAATTTAATCTTTAAGAAACCTATCTGTGTGCTCCATAAACTTTTCAAGGCCTGGCCAGTTGTGAGGTAAAATTAAGGTGATCGGGAATTTGTCACAGGCTTTTAATTTTGCTACAAACTCCTGGTGTAGACACAACTGGTACAAAGTAACTGTGTTGTATCTCATAGATGAAAAACAGAGGCTGTGTGTTTTTTTTTTTTCCTTGAATGAATTCATCAGCAAAGCTCCTATTAGTTGAACTATAACATTTAGACACACTCAGTCTGCAGACTGAATCAATGTTCACAATTTTGTCACAACAGGCCCATTTTGCTGAAGTATAAAACTTGTCTTTTGCTACTTGTACGGCTGTCTTCCAAAATGGCTGTAGGTGACAAAGAGCTGCTTCAGATCTCATCTTCTTGCATTGTGTGGTAAATGAAACACACATCTAACATAATGGTTTTTATCAGGAGAATTGCTAAATCAAACTGTATATACCCTGGATGTTTTTGGAAATATTTTCTTACAGTCTTGGAATTTAAGCTATGATGATACTGATGATATTTGGAAATTAGAACTCATTACATCTGTTTTCACCACAGGAGGAGAGACCACATCCTGTTAAATGTCATATGACTTATTTATTTTTTACAAATAACGACTTAATTGCAATTTCTAAATACTTTTCCATGATGGTGTGTGATGCAATAGCCATTTCTTGGTTAATCTTGTGGGTTACATACATTGTTTCTTGGTTGTGATTATGTTAATTCAGGATTAGAGGATGGGTTAGCTGGAGGGGAATGTGTGCTGTGAGGAAAAGACTATGGCAGGGCAAATCAAATCTCAGTGTTTTGATTCCAGTGGTGAAGGTATGTTTGTTTTAAACATTTTCTCAGGAATGATTTTCTCAGGAAAGAGTGAAGCTTAGATTCTGGTCACTGAATAGAAATCCAGATTGCAAAATTTCTGTAGAGTGTTTTCTGATGACTGCCAAAGTCAGTCGTGAGCATATAGGAGAATTTGGTTAAATATGTTTAATTGCATATTTGATTGCTTGATTTTGCTAGTAATTGGTTGATTGGTTGATTTTGCTAGTAATTCATGGAGGTAGTACTTCAAGGTTGAAGCCTGCAGAGGTTGCATTTTTTGGGAGCAAGGAGGTAGGTAGGTTTTGTTTTTCCCCTTGTCAATAAGAGGGGAGAAATTCATTGAGAGAGGTTGGAAATTGTTGTCTAATCATATGACTTGAAAAGCAAGGACTTAGTCACAAGGTTTCTTGTTACATATATGCTCTTTTCTTTTTGCCAATGCCTTGACCATGAGGACTTCGATGTATACTACTGCATACTTATATTTCCATCATTTTTTGTTTGAAATTGAAATTGGGAAATATTATTAGTTACAAATAAGAATGGCAAGCATAGGGGGAAGTTTCCCATCAAGCTGAGCCGACCTATTGGCTCCATACTGCTGAAAAGTAATGCTGTTGCTGTGCTTTACTGGTGGTGTAACTCTTCTATCTCTTGTAGCATCAGCTGTTGATAAAATCTGTAGAAGCTCTAGAGATGCATGCAGTCTCATTCAAGTAGTTGTTCTTTCTGCCAAAATTTAGTGTTTACACCAGTACCGGGTGGGGAATGGTACTGCAACCTGGGAAATTGGTCAGATTGAAATGTTTTCAATTTTTTTTTTCCTTTAGAGTTTCTTACACAGTAAAGTATGGTTAAAAAATAGAAAGATGGTACTTCAGAGACTATCCCTTACGCCCACCCCTCCACTTTTCTATTACAGATGACTTTAATATTAGGTTGAATTCTGTCTTTTGGGTTTTTTGGGGGTTGTTTTGGGTTTTTTTCTCTCTTGTCCAGCATTCTGGTGTTACAGCAGCTGCTGTTGGGGATATTTTGTTTCTCATCTTAAACACTGAATATTCTGGGCTGAATACTGTGGGCTTTTCTTGCATACTGTATGCATGCTTTTCAACATAGCTTTACCTTTTTCCTTCTTTGGGAATTTAAAATCAGGATGAAGGGAGCTAGTAATCTGTGAAGCATTCCAGAATCTCAGTGTGAGGTTAACGACTAAGGCTGAATGGAAATGTGGGGAAAGGCTAGCTGGGATGTGCAGGGCGAGGCTGGTCTTGTACAGCAGCAGCCAAAATGCTGCTTTGGTGGGTAATTTTGTATTTTTTAGGTCATTATTAGCAGGTCTTTTTTTATTGGGTTGTGTTAGTGGGTTTTTTTTTTCTTGTTTTGTTTCTTTGAGTTTTCTTTGCTCAGTGAGTTGGCTGTCAGGAGGAGTTCTCTTCAATAGAAGTGTTGAGGCATTGTTGCTGAGTGTAGTTAGGGCTGCTCACTTTTTACTATTGTTCTAGTTTTTTTAATGTGTTTTTGCTGGTCTGCCAACTAAAATACATGCCTTTGTGTGTTTTACTAATGTAAAATAGCCTACACAGCAAATTAGAAAAAGAATGAGAAGTTGGTTCATTTGAGAGGCCCGGTAACACGCTTAGCAGTGTTTAGGTCTTCTCTGATTTCATCTCAATTCCCTACTGCAAATATTTGTGTGTCAGAAGCACCAGTGAGTGTTGGTTTCAGCAAGTGCTGCTGATCCTGAGAGCAGTCCCTGAAGCTGCCACTGTGACAGGAGACTGACGGCCAGCAAAGCAGCTGCTGCACTGAAGGGCCCTCAGAACTGTGGAGGAGCCACAAATGAAGTAATGGCAGCTCAGTGACACCATCAGGGATAACACTTTCCTCCAGGAAGGACTTGAAAGTTGACCTCTCCACCCAACAAGGGGTAATCTTTGCTCATCTTCTGCACCCTAAAGTGTGGCAGCATTTACATACTTACTAGAATTGCGGACAGCCTGGGGTAGCCATCAGCTGAAGGGTGCGGGTGGAAGTGTCGGTGCTTGTCTGTCAGTTGTTGCAAGGGATTTCAGCACTCCAATTCGTACACGATTTTTAGTGTTTCAGGACATCAGTGTGAGTTTGTTAGATGCAGTGTACATAGTAACTAATGGTGATCTCTGGCAGCCCCTCTCTACCGGAGAAGTGAAACCAGGAAATGCCTTTCCTTTTGGTCAGCTTTTTTTTTTTCCTTTTTTTTTTTTTCCCTCTCTGTTCTTACAAAGTAGTTAGGTCCACTTTGGTCTTACAGCTGTTATTGGCATAATAAAGGCCGGAAGGGTCTCTAAACAAATGGTCACTAAAAGAAAATTCCTGTGAAGGTAAGCAGTGAAAAGGCCAAGCCAGGCTTTCCTATGTTTCCTGAGCGTGTGCCAGGACAGTTGAAGTAGGATCTTACATGCTGTTAGAAAACCCATTCACCACAGACATCTTTCAAGATCTCCTTGAGATCTCCTCATTCCTTCTCCAGATGTTGCTCAACTTGAGATGACAGTTTTACCATATTGGGCAAAGCAGTGGCTTGTTTTGTTTTGAGCATCTGAGATGCGAGCAGTGGGTGGACTGGTCACTGTTTTGGCATCCCCAGTGGTGGAATGCATATGTGGACAATCAGATCACTCAGAGGAAGAGGAGAGTTTACTGACATCCTTATCCACATTCCAAGGCATGCCTTTCATCTGTGCATCTTCACCGCTGCCAGAAGGAAAAGTGAAGGTAATTAATAATCTACCATTTTTAAGGACAAAGCTTGAGGGACTTCTGCTGCCTGCATCCCCTGTGTGGTCTGTGAATTTGTCTGAGTTTGGGTATAAGAGGTATCTGCACAGCTACAGTATGCAGATGATGCAGCCAAGGAAAGTTTCAGTGGTTTGGTACTCAGGCTTAATTCCTGTTCTGTTTTGGTTTTTTCTTTTTTTTCACACAAGTATTCAAGAAAATGCATTCATGGTATGTGGCTTGTCCGTACTAGTGAAATATAAATTATAAAAGACAAATGCATGTTGCTGCATTGCTCAGCAGCAATATGTTGATTTATATTGCTTAAGGAAATAACCTAAATTTCTTTTTTTTCTATTTCTTGTGGTAGGGGCCAGAACTGTTTAACCAAACTTGGAAAATTCCCCTGGATGACAGCAGTAAAACTAATCAGAGGATAGTATTCATGTCAAAGTGGTTAATGTGGTTGTCTCACCACTTTATTTATTTAAGAGATTATTTGACTTGTAAGAAGATACGTACGAACAATTTTATTGGGTGTTCCTTATTAAATATAAGGCACTTCTCCATTTGTTTCTCAGGAGCACTGATGGATTATCTTGTTCATTCTTAAGTGCCCTTTTAAGTGCATCTGGTTCCTTCATATCCCAGTTTAAGAATTATACAGTAATCAAGTTGTCTACGTGTGTACATATGTGCTGTGTAGAGAACTGGCCTAATTATACAGAGAAGTTCTTGAATATGGTTATTCTGATAATTGCAGGTATTAAAACCTGGATATATTAGAGTGCTTTAGTCTTACTTAAAATTCACAGGGGTTATACAAGCTTTTTTTAAAAATTGGCTTTTATTTGTCTTAGAAATATAAAAAAGTCATAAATACCATCTCTGAAATATATAAAAACATAAGTTATACAAAAATTTTTCTGGGTTCTGAAAATGGTTTTTTTGAATACATATTAAATAAGTTTAAATCTGAATAGTACCATTAGAAAGGAAATAAAATACATAATTTGTTTAAATTATTTCTAAATATTGACAATATAAATAAGAAATATTAAAAACTAATAAATATCTTAAATAGAATAAATAAGTTCCTAGAAGGAAATGGGAATGTATATAGATGCAAACCATTGTTACTATTTCTAGTTCTTAAAACAGAACAACACTGTTATCTGCCACCTGACAGATTTGTAACAAAAGGATTGTGCCTGAACTAAAACATTCAAGCACTGAAACTCCTGGTGTTTTTCAAATAGCGCACGGCCCTCACTGTCTTCTCCATAAATGAAGTAAAATCTCGGAGGATGAGATGGATGGTGATTTTCTCTGTCCAGGCCTTAGTGGACTTCAGCTTTGTGCGGAGGGATTCCTGGGTGGCTGCATCTGGGATGATCACTTCTTCGGGATTGATCACCTGTGAGAAAGACAATATTGGGGGCCTTGGTTAAAGCACTGTCACTGAGCCTGTTGGAGAGCATCCATCCGTTTGTATTTTCCCAACCTGCTGCTTATCCACTTTCTCTGTACTGCAGACACCAGCCCTCCCTGGGACCCGTGCTTTCCTCCAGCCCTGTTTCTGTGGAGAGGTGTGAGGAATGCTGTTGCCTGCTATGACTCCTGCGTAGGAATCTGGGCTATAGTGTTATGGTTTGAGTGCAGCCTCTGGCATGGTGGTCCAACAGGCTCTGAGCAGATCACTACACCCCTCCTGCTCTTTGGCAGTCACGTGGTTGGTTAGGTAGGGAGATGCTGATCATGGTTTGTCTTAACCTGCACTGCTCCATTGTGAGTCATAAATTAATTGTCTGACACTGGAGTATTCTCACATTTTGTAACAGATTAACAAGTTTCCAAAGATGTCAGGCTTGTTTAGCTGTTTAATTCTTACTTTCCAGGCATTTAGTCACATGTGAGACTAAGTGCCACCACTTTCACTGATGTGTGAGAGCATAACTACAAGATGAGTAAGAGTTATTTATCTAATGAGTTATTTATCTAATGCTGACTCACAGCACTGTGCACCCACTTCCTAAAGGCCTTTGAAGAACTTGTCCCAAGAAGTGGGACTTCTGAAAATGGAAGTCAGATACCCAAATAATGGAGCTGTTTTAGGTGATTTGGAGTCCAAAATTCTAGCAAATATCTGCCTAATCCTATGTTTAGGATCCCTCCTACCCTTTAACAGGTGGCAAAAGGATGCAAACCTCCTTCTGGAACATCTTTTTTGTGAGATATAAGAGAGAAATATTCTTCCTATCCAGGCTGCTTGAGTCTGTGTTCTGGTCACATCCGCTTCTCCTGGTATGCCCAGCTCCTTTTTGTACTCTGTTAAAGTTTGTATCTGGATATCCAGACATGGGTATCATGCTGGTGGATCTATTTAACCACAAGTGATGGATTCTAGCTTTGCTGTCCTTGCCTTAAATAGCAGATTTTTCTCTCACAAAGAAAAATTTACATTGTGAAGTTCAAGGCCTTTTCTCAAAAACCCCACAGTTTCTACAAGTTCAATTTTTGCTTTTGATCACTGTGTTTAATTCTGCCTGTTTTGATTATCTTGGTTAAAAAAAAAAAAATCCAAAGCCCTAAACCCAACAAACCTAGTCTCTCTCAGTTATGAAACAAACTTTCTGCAAACTCATGTATCAAGCTGGAAGTCAATAATCAGTTGCTGTCTTATGACAGGACTATTATTCTCAGCTAGCACAGTGTGAAAAAAAGCAGTTCAGCTTCCTTTCACATAAAGAATGATGGGCATAAGTAAATATGTTAGGAAAAGTATGGCAAACACACAATACACAATAGGCTTTTCACATGCCAAAAATTGCCTGGGAGGAAATAATGCCCCAAGACTTCTGCCTTAATCAGGCAAATGCTATCCCCAAAGACAAAAGGAAGTGTTCATATTAAGGATTACAAAAATGAGCAAGAACTGCAGTAATTAAGTAAAATTTTAAACTGTGATCTTTCAAAGCTCTCCAAAAACACGAAAAGTGTCTGCCAGAAATTAATAGCATTTTAGTTTACCAAATCAAGAGAGAAATTGGTATTTTTATGAAAGAAGATTTTTTTGCAAGAAAAAAAATGTGTTTTTCACTAGGAAGCTATCTGGTATATTGACAGCAATATCTCAATATACCATACAGCTTGGCTTAAAAGTTTGGTTTGTAGAGTTTTAAAAATGAATAATATTGTAAAAATACACGTGGCTTTTTCTTTTTTTTTTTTTTTTTTAATGTGGGCTTGAAAAAAAAGTTGCTGACTTCTACTTCTCAGTGGGTTCCAACATTAGTACAGGCTGAATTGCAGTTCTGCAATTATAAACAAGCTGAGAAATCTTACTTCTATCAGCCAGTTTCGTATATTTGTTCTTAACAATGATGCATTTAGGTGATTTGGAAATTATAACCAACAATAGAAATTAGGAAGAAGAGTTGTTTCTCTAAGAAAAGAAAGCAAAACTTTGTAAAACCTCTAAGTCATAAGGGTAAGATCTGAGCATAAGGAACTGGTACCTGTTTTTTCAAGGAACTGAAACATAGCAGCCCCTAGCAGAAACATTTCACATAGCATCTTCTATTTCTGACTTCACATCAGCATTAAGCCACAAAAATCATCAGAGGAAATTTAAAACCAACTCACCATCCGTCTTATGGTACGTGCCAGGTGCTCTGTACTATAGGATAGCGATTCAACGTTTTGGTTTTCACTAATAAAAGTTTCTTGTATGTATTTGAGGTATGTCTGAAATGTATAAAGTCCACTGGAGATTTTTCTCAAGCATTTATCCTGAAATGAGAGGAAGGTGAGAAAGTCACTAAGAGTTCAAAGTGCCTTGATCTCAATGCTGTGTGCAGATCAGCAGATGATGCTCTTATAGTGTGGAGGACTGGCTAGAGCTGGTACAAATCTTTAGGTCAACTTCCCCAGTTCTTTTGAGCAGGCAAAACCTGCCCCGGGAATACAGGATTAGATGGAAAAGGAGAGCTGTTCCTTGCCTCATTAAAGCCGGCGAGCAGACACCCATCTTCCTCCGTCACCTTGGGGAGGTTGAGGTTGTTGTGGAGGAGCATTTCCATGCTATTCTGGCAGACGGTAAACTTCTCGCACATCTGGGGAGAGACAGGGAGAGATTTGGTCGCACCTTGTCAGGAGGCAGCCGCGGCCGGGCCGGGCGTGTGAGCGAGCGTGTGCGAGCCCGCGGAGCGGCCGTACCCACCTCGTCCTGCAGCTGTGCCGCCCGGTCGTGCAGCAGCCGCGCCAGCCGCAGGCTGTCGGGCAGCGCCGCCCGCCGCGCCGCCGCCTCGTCCAGCTCGGCCTCCCCCGAGGAGTCTGCGTTGGGCAGCGGGGCGGCGGCGGCCCGCGGCACCAGCAGCAGCAGCAGCAGCGGCGGCAGCAGCAGCGCGGCGCGGAGGGCGGGCGGCCGGCGGCGGCCGGCGCGGGCACGGTCGCAGCCACAGTCCCGGGGAAACTTCATGGTGCGGCTTCTTCTCAGCTCCGGCCCTGGCCCCTTCTCGTCGGCGAGGCTGGCGGGTTGAATGAGCTCCGGGCATCCCTGAACGTGTATTTATTGAGGGGGCTTCGAGATTATTCATGGCTTTGGGAAAATCCGGCATGAGAACACGGGGGGGTGTGTGCTCTCGGAGCGTGCCCGGCTTGACAGGGCTGCTCGAGAGCCGGGATTGTGAAACGGGCCGGGGGGGGCAGCCGAAAGCGGCCGGTGGGAACATGAAGTAATCGTGCTCCGTAACTCCTTGAGGTCCGGGCTGCCCCCCGCCGCACCGCCGGCTCACCTGCCCCGCGGGGTCCCGGCCGGGGCTGGAGCCCCCCGGGCCGGCTTTCCTCGGAGCCTGCCAGCTCCAGCCGCACAAAAACTCCTGGAAATTATACATGCATACCTGCCTATACCCACGCGTACTTTATATATGCGACACGCTTCCGTGTGTTTTAATCTTTTAACGTGGTTGAACGTTTTATGGATTTCGTATGGTGTATATTTATCTCTGTATTTTAGCTATTTTTATTATTTGTATATGTGAAACTAAACGCCCCGGTTTAGGTGCTGGGTAGTACAAGTCGAAAGTTGCCTCCTTCTGAGTGAACTACTTGTGGGTAGGATTAAATACATCAAATGCTTTAAATGGACCAAAGCCAGCTCCTACGGGAGGGTGGCTGCAGGAAATGCCACGAAGTTCCCTGTTATCTGCTGCCTTATCTCTTTCTGCCTACCTGGTAGCTGTTGCAGGAATTTTAACCTTTCAGAGGGACTCTTCACCCAGGGCAAGTGTGCCTGTTGGGATCAATCTTGTAGAATGCAGGCTGAGTCAAACTGTTTAAGGCGTGCTGACATTGAACTTGTGGAATGTCTTGAACTGATCTTGGCCAAACTGCCTTTTTTTTTTTTTTTTTTTTTTTTTTTGTGTATGTTTTCTCACATAAGGAAGACCAGAGTCTGCATTGGGAACCCCTTACAGGAGAGTACAGAGTTGGGAGAACAGAACATGTGGCATAAGAGAGGGGTTAGAGACAATACAGAAACTGAAAAATGCCCCAGATACTTCATTTTCTAAGCACAGCCTGAAAATAGAGCCTCAGGAAAGAAGCAGAGTACTACTGGTTTTTATTTAATGTCTTTTTCTGTCAGTGGCAGAAAAACTGCTGCGGTAATTTTGCCCAGTGGAGAGGTGTTAGAGCTGGAACGCAAGTGTGAGAGAGCAGTTTTCAACAGCAGCAATCCACTTCTGCCCAGGTCCCTGAGTGCAGCAGGGGGGATATTGCCAGAACAGTATTTGCTGTAATGTCAGGTCTGTGGCATTAGGCATAGAAGAAAGCATGCCACCGGCAGTACGTTTGACTATTATCAATGAAAAGATCCAACTGAAATGTGTTAAAGGATTAAAACATCCAGGCCAGATGAGCTCAAAGCCTGGTATTTGCTTTTGGATAACCATCAGAGGCAGATACATCAGGGAGGGAACTCCTGCCTACCTCTTTTTCCACTTGCGATAGCACATGGATGTACGTCTCAGGGATTTCCTTCCGCTGCCAGGCGACTCATAGGCTGTTCCCTGCAGACAGTCAAACTTTTCCTTTACCTAACCTAAGTGAAAATACTATTCTTAAAATGATGAAAACTTGGTAAAAGACTGTATTTTCTTAATAATATCTTTTCAGCAAGCATTTTGTAATTTAGTCTTCTCTGTAGCTCTGTAATTCTTAATTTCGTAAACTTATTAATTTCTCATTGTATTGTGAAAGTCTCTATTCCTTAGAAATTTTTAGAGAACATTTTTGTGCTGGTCACTGTTATAAAGTCTTGCTGATGTATGTAGTTGCATCTGCAGAGTGAAATAAAAGCAAGTTTCAACTGTTCCTCATCTAAAAGTCTCTAAGCCTTCAGTTACTGTTTTCTCATTTTGGGGTTTTGTTTACTTTTTTTATATGAATGTCCATGTGACTTTTCAGAAGTACAAAGTATACTTACATGCTCCAGTGAAAGGTGCTCATTAATGCCTTAGAAACTCCATTTGATAATCTAGGACAAAGCGTAGCATTCAAAGGAAGAAGGAACTGGAATTTGTACAATAGCGTTAAAATACTTCTATTGCTTTGGACAGTTTCTTACAGAAAATCACTTATTTAATTGGTACTGTACATAGAAGAAATACTTTTGCTCTGATCTATCTGTAATAATGGTTAAATTTTGGGGAGGGTTTAAAGGAGATCCACACTGTATTACTAATTAGTTGGCACTGTACTACACTGAATTACACTGATTCATCAGTAGTCACATTGTTCAAAATTTAATAAGCTTTGAAAAAACAGCACTTGCTCATGAGTTACCTACAGATCAGGAGATCCTGGTACTTAAAATGTAGGAGTATTATAACTGAGACTCTGAGGCATAGTTTCTAGATGCCTCAGAGCATTTCTTTCCTGCATAGCATCTTTGTAATACTGTAGATTACTGTTCTTGCATCCTTTATTTTCTATTGCACTTCATTTCACTGTACAAATTTTTTCTTTCTCTTTTCATTTATACTATCAACAAGATGGCTGCATCCTGGTATGTAAAAACTTCCTAAGGTAGGATTTCAGAAATTCTCAGTGTTTAACCAACTTTTTCTTCTGTCTGAGAAATGAGCACTATTCACATTTACATTGTTACTACTACTGCACATTTCTGTAGGAGCAGAGAGACCATTTCTGAATGGTAAAAAAATCTTTCCTCTCCGATTGTCACACATGAAAATTGTTCCAGGTTCCAGTCAAGTTATAGCCAATCAAGGATTGTCTCATGTGTGTTTTCTGGGATCAATGTGCAACTCACTGACCCATTCTGGAAGAGGTTATTTTTCTTCTAGAATTGCTCTGCCTGGGAGCAAATCTGTGCCACTTTTGCTCTTGATAACCTGGGAGATTTGGAGAGAGAAGCCTGTTTTCAGGAGAGCTGGGTGGCACCAACATGGAAATGCTATTGCCACTGAAGAATTCAACAAACTGCAGAGCTGTCATGGTCAAAGCTTGTCTCCCCTCTTCTGTCAGCCATCAGGCACATGTCTACAAGGAGCCCCACCATGTGCAGGGGCAAAACCCAGTGCCATTGGCAGCAGCAGGAGACCTTGCTTGCTGAGTGTTGTGAGTCAAACATAACTGGCATTCCTACATGGAAAAATAAGGTCTTTCAATGAAGCAGAATTACTAGGGTTGCAGTAAGTTCCACTCTGATCTGTGTGTTTGGTTTGACTGCCTTTTTCTTTCTAATAATCTCCACTACTTTACAGTAGTAAGAAAACCAGTAATGTTTATTTGGGGATTATGACTTAAAATAGTACTGTTGGTAGTAAGAAAAGAAATACAACTGGAAAATGTGGTGTTTTTCTATAGAAGTGTTAGATTGTGTATGGAAGAAAATGCCAATTGTCAGAACTGGGATCATGACAATCACTAAACAAATAATGTCCAAATATTTTGAATGAGAAGGAAAGCTGATGTCTGATTCCCCTGACATATTTTTGGTCGAATTCCTCAAAGCTTGTAACAAGGGAACTCGATTCCTACAGATCTTGTAAAGAGTGCTTTGTAATGTCAAACCAAGCTTCCCTGTGCTGTATTTGAAGTGAACAGGTTGAGCAGGTCAGTAATACCCTGTGTTCATGTCTCTCATAAGCAAACATTGCTTTGACAAGCTGCATGTCACCAAAGAGCACTGGTGCACTTGACTAACGGCCATCGATTTTGTGGCTTGGCAAGTTTTTTCCTTCTCGCTTATTTTTTTGCCAAATAACTTCAAAGTTTTTTGGGGATTTTTTGGTGAAAATCTTTGGGGATTGCTCATTTTTCTTTCCTAAAGGAAGACTTGCATCATTCTAAAAAAGGCTAAGATGTGTAGTAAGACTTGAATTTTTTTTTCTTGAGTGCATCATATGCAAGTACCATGAATTTCTTTGCCTTAAGCTAGATCAGATGTTTAGAGGAAAAATTTTTTACTTACCTTTAAATTATATCCTGGTTTTCAGCTTTATCTGATTAACTTCAAAAAGCTAAATAATGCTATGGTCTTCTCTAGACAACTTCCAGCAGACAACTTCCAGCCATGCAGTCCTAGGTGAAAGAGGTCCTAAATATAATGGTTCTTGGGAAATATCTGAATGCTGCAAGACACATCTAATGTACATGTCCTTCAAGTCAAAATTATTGCAGGCATTTTAATACTGGAATGGGAATGTTGTGGCACCTGACAGTGAAATTAGATTTTCACTAGGAGCACTCTGCTGCTGTGGCTGCACTGTTAAATGGCACCAGGAACCAATTTGACAAACTTTTCTCATGGAAGGAAAGCAGCTGTTGCTTTCTCTCCATCACAGCACAGTGTGCTTGGTGGGGTGGATGGTGCCCCTTTTAGGGCTGCTTGAGACACCAGAACAGAGGGCTGGTCAAGTTAGAAATACTGAGGGCTGTGGGTCTTTCACAAGCAGCATGCTGTTATCTGACTTGTTTTGTGAGCATCACCCATGAGGACAACACACTGTTTTGACAGGGATCCCATTTTGTCAGCATTGTGTTTTGAATTATTATAGGGCTGTACTTCTAAAAGAAATCTCTGTTTTTAAAAATTAATTGACTGTAAGTTCCACTTGTGTTTAAGGAACTTCTCACTTCCCATTGAGCTTGCTTTCTAAGCATGAAAGATGAAAATTCAAAGAAGTTATATGATAAAGAAGAGTGAGGTATTTCTGTCACCAGAAAAGATGACAGAGCTGAAAAGAGAACACTGAGGAGCCTGAGTGTATGGGAGGTACTGAATGGTGTAAATATTTATCTTTATTGTTTGCCATTTTTAACACGGTACATTAGATGTAGATTGTGTTTTACAAAGCATTCAAAAGGGGGGTTTTCCCTCCAAGGAACTTGCTCAACGCCAAAGGAAACTGAAGGGTGTCAATGTTTATAATCCCACTCATGAATGCATACCAACTCTAGCTCACCTCAGTAAAGAGGATCTGTTTCACTCTTAAACAAAAGCTCATGTGTTGATCCATGAGACATCTGTAAATCTAACTGTGCTTACCCTTGTACACACCCAATGTTTTTGTGCGCATAATCTCATTATCAGACTATCATCTCACTTGGTTTGACATTTAACTGTGCATTCTCTTGCGTTCTTGTTCTGCTTTTCCTGATGATTGCCTTTGTGACTTTCAAATTACCTACACATAAGGCAAGTCATTAACAAAATTTTTATGTTTTTTTCCTGGAAAGCAGTGGTTTCTCTCTGCAGTGAGAACAGAAGTGATAAAAACATTGTAACTCCATTGTCAGAATGAGATGCAAAGTTTCAGTACAGTCCTTTTGGGAGATAACTTTTCAATAGCACTTTATATGTGTTGGAAATTT